CCACCTGAACATGGAGACGTTCATGATGAACCTTCACAGCAGGGATTGGGAAATAAAATGTTTATTTTACGGAAGAACGATCACCTGCGTAATAGCGACTGCAATACGACAGGAAACAATAATAATAACTTTACAATACAATGAATATATTGGGCATTTGCGTCTCCATCGTCGAACCTTCGTCCTCATTAACGCCTCTCAGTCGCTTGCTATGGTGTCAGCGCGAGTGCTTGCATTCCACATATCAAGGGTAGCCCGGAGAAAGGTTACCACCTCAAATTGACATCTGCCAACCGCCCTCTCTGCGGAGTCAGAATAAGCTTCGTCTGCGAGAACAGACGCTCCCACGCATTACTCGTCGGTGGGATCTTCGTTTGCAGAGCGCTGTAGACCACAGACGAGCGGCCTGTCCTGCGCGCTGCTGAGCCTTCCAGCAGAGCCGTCGTAGCGAAGTCTGGAGCGCGGTCTCTCTTGCGTTTATCGCCAACGCCAGTCGATCGGTCCGAAGCAAATTTCGAGACGGATTTGGCCTCAGCAGTTGCTAATGGAGTTCCGTTTGCCACCTTAATTACCGCCTTTTCAAAATCGGTGAGTGCACTATTTTTGAAGATGGATCCAGGTGGGAGCCCAAATCTGGGTACTGATCCAGGAGCGAATTAAACAGCAATCGGGTGTCGGCCATCGTAGTCTCGTCGTCCTGCAGCTTCTTGCAGAAGCTGTCGAACACGCGCAAATCTTCGTTCAGTGCCACGATTTTTCGGTGGGCGGATGCAGAAGGAAGGAACTCCGCAACCGCTTCAACCTTCCTAATATCGCCCCGGATTTTGATGTAGCGGGAGACCATCTCGCGTGTTGACGACCAGCGCGTCGCGCTCCTCTTAACTGGGCGAAGCTCAGTAAATTTCGCCAGCTCGGCGCTGTTGTTTGGGTGCCGCAGCTGTACCATGAGCGTGCCCACCTGATCCAGCTCCGCCTCGTACCAGCTCAAAAGTACTTGGACAGCCACGTTGAGTCGGTTGCTGGCTCACTCGACCAAGGGTACCTCCAGTTTGGTCGCAATCGAGCGATTCGTCGAGCAATTATCACCAACAACGAACAAAACCATGGCGAGTGTCTTGTTGTAGAGGTCCGGGGCCCGCTAGAAGTGATCAATATGTACGCCCGCTGTCTGCGGCCCCTAAACGACTGGCAAAATCGATAGCAATCGACGACGGAATGTGCCACCGTGCATGTAGACGCAGAGCAATGCGGCAAAATGCGTAGGGCCATGCGTCCACCCGTCGAAAATGATGCCAAATGCATCGCCCATCTCCTCGAGTATCAAGCCGACTTTGGCGGCAGCAAGATGCATATTTGCCTTCAGTGGCTTCGAGCTTGTAGATCGCAGGCGCGACATCTCACGCGTGAGCGGTTCATCCACCTCGCAGAGAGGCAAGTTACGCACCACAACCCAGCGTAGCCATCTTTACAAATGGTACACCGCCTCTGAGACGAAGCCAAAGGACTCCATCGCTAAGTTCTCCGCACAGCGATATGTAGCCATTTCAGTCAAGTGGTCGGGGGTGTTTGGTGCCCAAGTGAGAGAGCAGGTTGGAGTAGCCGGTAGCGGGGGCCTGCTTGCGAGCTCCGTTACAGATCTTGCACGTGTAGCGATAGTCGGCTCCCGCTTCGAAGAAGGAAGCACATATGTAAGCGCTTGTGGGCATAGTGATGCTCGCGGGTTGCAAAAGGGAAAGTTGCTGGTCTTGAGTTGTGGAAATGCTAGTAAATAGCGAAGTGAGATTGAAAAGGGTTTGAAAACAAAGTTTTAGTCGGGAAGAGCAAGAATACACAATGGTTAGCCCACGTAGACACCAGTTCTTTGACTTTGTTCCTCTATACTCTTCTTACTTAGTCTTTTAAGGTATTGTATTGGGCAGTAATATGTACAATAGTGGGGACAATATTTATTATTGGATCAAACTGCAAAAAATAAATACAAAAATTGGGCAATAATGCCCAACTGCAAAAAAAAAAATAATTATTGTCCCCACTATTGTACATTTATTGCCCAATTTTGTTTTTCGGATCCCTGCTTCACAAGAATTCTAAGAGAAAAAAATCAAAAGTACATGAAGGCTTTAAAGAAGCTGTTGTAGCTGCATATGAAGAATACCGAGAGTTAAAAGTCTCTGAGGATCCAGGTGCACCCATTCTTTCTTCGAGGTTTCAATATTTTAAGAAACCAGCAGGGATCCCCACGTTTAATGGCTCTTAGCTGCCGAAGCAATTCGACAAACGACAACAAATCAACGCATTGCCTAGTTACTCATTACTGTCAGCTGAATGAATGCAAATTATATTGTATGTATTCAAATACTAGATCTTCATCACATCTATTTTCTTTGTAATGCCCTTCCTCCACGAAGGGAGATATTAGTTTGCCATCGTGCGGAATCAGTCCGATCGCTGCATGTCTTACCAATATTATCCCGAAAAATACCATTGCCACGACCTCTTGACGAGATACGTCGACCACCTAGGGTGCGTCCTGGTCCAGCTCGATCACTTCGGCGACTATTCTGGAGTCACCATTGCCTCTTTCGGCAGTGGTAATTGTCGTGAAAGCTTCCGTCCCGCTTTTGTTAGACGGAAGATTCTGTCTAATTCTACGATTAGCAAGAGGACGTGGTCATTTTTTTCATCCATCCACTCTTAGCTTTCGCATCTATATGCACACAACTAAGTGGACACAAAACATGTAAAAAATACGATCTGCATGGCCACACGCGCCGAGTAACGCTTACATCCCATCCATGTGTCGATTGTCCCCATCGCTCCATTCGCCGCTTGTTCACCTCCTTTTTATCCTGTGCGTCCCGATAATCATCATCACTCTTGTAGCTTCGAGCTACGAGTATAGCTTCAGACGTGCTCATTTCGCCAAGCAAAAAGCATATGTCATAGTGTATATCATCTCTGTTATAGCGAGATTGGGTGACAAATACAGCTTTTTCGCACGGGAAACGAGTTTTTCACTGGGTTTGGCCTCACTAGCAAATACGGAGGCACGAATAGAATGGTGCTTACACCGAAGCAGTACTTTCTGCATCAATTCGCCCGTTTTGAGACGTACGCGAAGACTGTAGTATCTTTTATTCAGCTTGTTCTCACGGGACGTTCAACCGCACGAAGAAATTGATGCTAAATTGAAAGTAGCGCAGCTGCGTACTGAGTTTCAGCTCTTTGTGAAACCAGAAAAAGTGCCACTGGAAAAAATGATCGCGATGCATCTGAAATTCCACACACAAACAGCTGAAACTCAACTGTGTTCTACTTAAAGGTTGCGTTCATTAGAAATAAAAAGGACCCGGGATCACGATCCAACTGACGCATCATCGCTTTCGTAGAAAACGCCACAAAGAAAGGATATTCGTCTGTCCCGTCCCCAAGAACTAGATCTCCTTCATTGTCCACGTTATCTCCAAATGTGAACGTAGTCGGTTCATCTAGATTGCCGAGCACTTCTTGCAATGGAAATTATTTCGTCCAGTATATATGTTTGGAGGATAATTGTGTTCTTGTGATTGTACACACAGCTCTGGACTTTTTGTAGCTTAGGAACGTTGCCTCGTTTAAGCGAGAACTGATCAGTTAATGAATTCAGAATTTGATTTGGCGTTGCTGACGTTTCTGTCATTTTCCGAGTCTCATACTTCATGACACGAGTGCAGGGCCTTGACCGCGGCGACCCGACCGGAGATGCGGGCTGTCCATGCTCAAAAACGTCGCTGATATCTGTTTGAAGACACCACAAAACCTTGAGCCAATACGTACAGCTCAATTTGTCTTCTTTACAGGTCGAAGTGTTGTAATACCAAATGCGATAACGCATTTGGTGCTGGTCGTGATTCGTAGGGCACGTTTTTTCATGTTGGTGTATGTTTTGATAGTGCGCAGAGTGTCCAGCTTCTCTTCTGTAGCGCGAGCGCCTTGAACTCGCTCAAAATGCTGCCAAGCGTAGAAGAACGGCATGCTCCGCCACGGTAGTCTGTAAAGGAGACGAGTGCTTCTCTAATATCGATAAACTACGTTGGTTTCCGTGTGGATTGCAAGTGGCATTGAAAATAGTTTGTTTTACATCTAGGACGTTATATAAAAATTGATTTACGGATCAATCCAGCATGACTCTAACTAATATTATGCTTGCATCTTACCTAAGAAAAGTTCTATTAGATTAGTAGCATCGCGCCCAAGCGAAGACGTACCCGAAGTGAAATAGAGGAGGATTGGGGATAAGGTTTGTCCTGCCCCCTCAGCTCAGCTCTGCAATTTAAATCAAGTTGGTTAATTGCATAGTGATACTTTCTGCTCTGATGTCAGGTGGTTAGTTGACTTCCTATTTCGTTTACTTTAGATTTCATGTCTTCTCAAGTCAAAAGCGCTACGAAACTGGTTTTGCGATTTTTTTTCGATGGTTGTGTATTTACCAGATTTTAGACCCTTTCTGCATACTACAGTATCACATGACTCAATTGTACACAATAAACTTGAAAATGCAAGCTTTCTAATACTGCTCTTTTTATATACATAAATCGTCTCCGTTTTAGATATATGACATAGAACTGGGTTCAGAAAACACGAAACTGGTTGCAGATCTTAATCGAAGTTTTGTCCTACCGGTAATATGCTGCAATTCTACTGAGCACAATCCTAACGTATAATACGGAATAATATGCCGTCTACTATTATTATAGAGCGCGGTCTATAGGAATTACCGCGTTGTAGTCGATAGCGTTGTATTTCTTTGGTAAGCGCTGACAGCTCAGGTAATTAAGACAGATACAGACAGCGACACAAAAAGCCGGAGTAAAATCTGCGACACAAAAACTTGGACGACTAGCAAAACATATTCTGATTGACTGAATAAAACTGAGAGTATGGAATAAAAAGTTCAGCTACGCTTGTTTATTATACCGTTGCCGACTCATAGCACGGAATTGCTGATTTAAAGCTATGAATTACGGGTTCGTTGGGAGAACTTTCCCAAGCTGCAATTGTAGCTTGTATGGCTCGAAGACGTTTTTCAGCAGCCGTAAGGCCTTTTTGAGGTAGTAATTTACCTCGAATTCGAGACTTTAGAGGTCCCATTACCCCTACATCAAGCGGTTGACAAACCGATGTAGCTTTAGCGGGTAATGGGACCACTGTAGCGCATGCCTGTTCGGCAACCACACGCATACCCTCCTCTGAAACATGACAATAAAAATTGTCCGCTAAGAGGAGGGCAGGGGAGTCAATTTCAGGTTTTAAAATGTTTTCTACATAAAACTCCCAGCCGACTGTATCCATCCAGCCAAACTCTTGTACTGTGTAAAAGTGACAACTTGGCAGCGTGCTTAACTCGTTGGAATCAATAAGTCCGCCACGTTTGCCGCGCAGTATGAAGAGAATCGGAAGTTTTTTTCCTAAAAACAAACATTTTTAGTAAACAAAAGTAATATATATATATATATATATATATAAATAATACTTATAATTAGCGCAAGGAAAAATAATAACAACTTACCATCAGCGCGAACTGTCAAGACAGCCGTCATGCGTCCGCAGTGTTTTGTCAGATTTTGGATTTTAGCTGATCCTTGTCGCCCTTTAATTGCCCAGGTTCTTGCTGGCGGCATGTCGAACTGGATGGCCGTTTCATTCATGCTGTAGACTTCCGGTAGAGAGTATGAGCCGTACTTACTCCAAAATTCAATTGCAAAATCCGTTTTTAAGCGCTGCAGATCCACACTTGGGAGCTTGGTTTCTTGGGCTGTTTGAGTTGAGAATCCGTAACTAAAATCAGGTTTAAAAAAATATTAGTAACTCAGTTAATAATGCAATGATATTTTACAGATAATACCGGTCGGCGGTTCGCTGCAGTAGACGTTCAAGGGCCCGTCTGCAACTCTCGTCAGACTTCTTGTTCTCCGCGTAGGCCTCTATCCAGTCAGGGTAGTTCTCTTGAATAAAAGCAATCATTCCTGATGTAGTAAGAAACTACAAGAGTTAAACAGTAAGAGGAAGTAATAACAAAATACTATAAAATTTAAATAACTCACTTCCTCGTCGCGGCGTCCGTCTTTCATGTACGTCAAAAGGGCAGAGGTAAATGGAAAGCTTTCCTTACGTCCCTGCCCTTTGGTCGTCTTGTCCAACTTGTTCCCCTCGTCGACGCGCAGCTTGGCCCTACCGACCCACCACCCATGCACCGTGCCGTGCGGGTGGCCCAGCTTTTAAACGGCGGCAGTGAGCCCAATCCTCTCAATGAGGTCGACTGCCGCCAGCTTCTCTTTAATTGGGTAGCCGCGCTGCTTCTTCGTCCCCATCGTAGGTTTAGAAAGTGATCGTGCAGCGCGGCTTCACCATCGAATTGCTGGCTTCCAACCGAGTTTTAGCTCAATTTATTGGATGGTCATCATAACTAAACTACTTTTTGATTGGTCAAAATTTACTATGGGGCGCTTTCATTTTTCCGTGTTTTGTGTACGCCGGCTTTTTGTGTCGTTGTCTGTAGACCCATTGGGGGACACGGTTGTCTCGGGCTCAAACCCGATAGAGCCCGTTAATTCTCCGCTGAAGCTTTAAGTCTCTTCGTTCTGTTGTCATTTACATAGCTCTCTTTCTTTAATCTATTGTCGTAGATTAGCTTCTACGAGCTCGTCCTTGATAGTCCCGAGCAGTGACTTGCGAACATGCGACAGCGAGATGAAACTTCGTCATGAATTTGCTCTCGGTCCCGTCACCATTGCCGAAAGCATGATGCGCTCATACGCCAACCCAACTGACAAAAGTGCTTTCGACAGGTGATGGCATACCACCACCTTTAGTCTCTACCCAGTCGATCGCACGCTGTTTTAAATTGATCTCGAATATCTTGCGTTATGACGGCAAAATTGAGAATGATCGTAGTTAAATGGTAGCGAGATATTAGCTGAGCTGATTTAAGAAATTCTAGAATTCTAGGGTACTTTTTAATACGATTGGCTGAACCCTCGTAGAACGGTGCTCTGTTTAATACAGAAAAATCGATTTTACAGGATTTAATATTCAGGAAAGTCCTCAACCGCTAAAACACCGCATTTACAAGTTTGATAAAGATGAGATTGGGGTCTTAAATCACTGAGAATCTGTGATGGGTAGATATACGTGGGTTTTCTAGAGTTGCGAGAAAATGCAATATAAACGAGGGAGAGGTCCACTTCTCACAGCCGTTCATTTCCAAAAAGAGAACGATGAACGGACCCGGGGACAAATGTTCTGCGCAGTTCTGGCGAGAGCTGGATGGAAGGCACGTAAGCCGACTGGAATCTGCAGGCACCATCCCTACGCGAAACCAGGTGTGAAAGGACGTCTAGACGAGACGCGCAGAGGAATCGACTTTCTTGTTAGTAAATTTTTGTGTCAGAAAAAAAAACATACTTACCAATTAATTTTGATCTTTTGATATTTAGGAGAAGAAAAGTGATGGCATTTGGCCGCAAGGTTGACTTGTTGCAGCTCGCAGCTGTGTTATCGGCTCCGCTCACCCTGCCCACTCCGACGCCGCCTGCAGTAGCGACTACCACTGCCTCTCCACTCTCAGTTGAGACGGACATGCCGCCTGTACAAGCCGTTTTGGATCAAGTCGTGCCTAACGTAGTCATTGACGGTACTTACTTGGCAGCTGCATCGGAGGTTGGAGACGCTCAAGACGAACCGGGTATCAGAGCTTCGATTGTGTCCGAAGAGGAGAAAGAGGGTCCTGAAGATGCACCTGCCGTCGCTTCAGGCGATAGTGGGATGAATGAGTTCGACTATCCGTAGTTCATTGACGTGATGCGGTCTGAGCAGCTTTTTTGTGCTGTTGATGCAGACAACATCAATGTCTGCAGAGAAGCGGTTCCGTGCCAAAAAGAAGTTGAGTCCATCAGCGATCCAGTGGATGATCCTGGCGCTCTATCAGATTATTACGAAAGCGAGGTGGATTCGGACAGTGACTTCGATGACGAGATCCATCTCTTCGAGTAAGACAATGATGCCATACCGGGAAGTATATGATGAAAGTCATTCGTGTAAGTCTGTATTATACAGAATAATTCTTCTTGTAGATGTCTTATTCTGTAGCCAATATGCTTTTTTGCTAGCTCAAGTGTTGTTCTGTATTATTCTGAATTCAGCTAACCTTCAACTAAATGAAGCTGGTGATCTGTATGATGGGATTGGGGGGCCAACGAGATCAGCGGTGGCCAACGCTGATTCATTACTGCAGCTATTCTTTTAATTCCTCCCGAAGTAGCTGTGGTATCACATTTCAAAAGAGTCGGATGCATATCGTTTCGAATGCACCAAGAGTGTCGCCAAGCGCCAACGTACCAAACAGCTCAAGATTCAAGCAAAGGACCCTACCAAAACAGTGCTGCCTGCTGCCATTGGAAGCTCAGAAAGAGAAGCTTCAGAAAAGAAAGCCGATCAAAGCTCGCGAGATACCCCTATGTCATCGGACTGTTGGTGGCGCGCACACAAAAGCCAAAGGCACTCGCCGGTCAACCTGGAAAGCACCTTATTATCGCCGACAACTTCTACACATCATGTGCTCTGGCGATCTCACTGGTGGACCATGGCTTCTATTTTGTCGGAACACATTGAAATGACCGTCTGGGGTGGCCTGTCAGCTTCGCGTTCACGCAAAAAACGCGACCAAAGTCTATGGCACGTGGGACCTATCACATCGCTCAATGCAAGAAGTATCCCGCGCTGGTTGCAGTGTCCTGGATGGACGCTAAACCAGTGAGTATGCTTGCAACGGGTTGTGCAACTACGAGACGTCTGTGACAAGGAAAGAGAAGCAGTCTGTCGTCCCCCAATTGGTCCCCTGTCCTCAACTACACCTTTTCAACTTCAAAATGGCGACAGGTAAAATCAAAGTGACAAAACGTAAGTTCAAAGTGACATGACACTGACACTTAATATTTATGGGAGTATTTACGTTTGGAGTTCATTAGATGAAGAGGCAAAAAGTGGCGGCAACTACTCCCGCCAATTTTGGTGGACGCTGGCTGGCTGTACGGCGTCGATGGAATCAGTGGACACTGTTGCTGCAGTTTGTGGCCGCACTGCCTTTCATTCATTTAGCAATTCTCACTGTGCTTCCTACCCACACAGCAATGCTGTACGACGACGCTACCGTTCGACGGGTTCTCCGTGCAGCTCACGAAGGCCAAGATTGGCGCGATGTCGCGCCATCGTCAAGCTATTCTACGCGTCCCACCGCACCTCACCATCAAGGCGCACCGTGAAAGCTACCTAAAGCTGGCTGCAGACCTCCTCGTACTCGAAGCTATCACCCCAGAACTTTGCTACAAGTGCTCGTTGCACACCATGAAGTTCCATGCGCGTGCGATCCAGATGAAAGATATGCCTGTAGGAGAATAAAGACAATATCAAGAATAAAGACAATATCAAGTTTGGCTTTGCTGGCTCCTATGTTCGATGTCACTTTGAACTTACGTTTTGTCACTTTGATTTTACCTGTCGCCATTTTGAAGTTGAAAAGGTGTAGTCGCTGATTATCATAGTGGTATGGGTGGGGTCGATTACCACGAGCAACTGCGACTGCAGCGCTACTCAATACAGCGCTATGTAGCATTCAAGGAATACTACAGTCAACTGTTCCTAGGATTCGTTGACATGGCCGTGGTCTCCGGCTTTATTATCTACCGAATAACGATGAAGAAAGACGGACAGCAAGTGCCGACCCACGCGGAATACATGCGCCGCCTGCACATGGAGCTTTCGGGGATTACTGCGGCAAGTCTTAGCAGCAACATGGGCGCTGAGGACTTAGTATCAAGCCCAATTCGCTCGTGCGAGCACCAGCATCAAAACCAAGAGAGTCTCTCTCGGTCGAAACGCCGTCAGCACCTGTGCAAGGTGTGCTCCGCAATGGCACCTCCAAGAACCAAAGGATTCGAAACCAGCCATTACTGCCAACGCTGTACGGACTTTCACGGCGGAAACGTGCCTCTCTGCAACTGTGTTCGTCGAAAGGAGACGGAAAAAAAGTCTACATGCGGCCAGATTTGGCACGACACCTGGGTCAATGGTACAGCCATTCCCGCCAGTCTGAAAAAGCGTATTTGGTTCCGCAAGAGCCAGCGTGATAAATATGAAAGTGAAGAAGAGTAGATGGTTAGCGAAAGCAGCGTAGAAGCAAATACAAAGTCTACTCACGTGTCCTGGTGCTCAACGTCCAATGACCGATGCGTAGCGTCCTCACACCAACATTTCGGCCAGTTCTAGACTAGAAGGAAGTAGGAGAAGAACTAGAATAGAACTTGTAGTAGGAGACTAGAAGGAAGTAGACTAGAAGGAAGTACGAGAGGAACTAGAATAGAACTTGGCCGAAAGGTTGGTGTGAGGACGCTACGCATAACGCGTGGTAGCTCTTGGCGCACTTGTACTGAAAGCCATTCGTTCTGGCGCGAAGGACGCAATTCGTATTGGTTTGGAAAGGATACTTTTAGAAAAAGGTTTTGCATCATTGAGCCAATCCTTACAGATCTTCATTTATCCAATGAGCGGCCAAACGGGTGGATTCAATGTAGTGTTTATAACCACTACAACCTCAATTTATGCACTAGTTTGCAGTGTTTTTACTGGAATCGGCTTGTGGCGCAATAGTTTTTGCAGATGTGATAGTATAGCTCTTTGAAGTCATTTCTATATTCTGTATTATACAGAATATTTCTCCGCACTACGAGGGTTAAAACAAATGAGCTCGAGGGTTCTGCAGGAATTTTAAAATTATAAATTGTCAACGGCAGCGCGTTGTATTCAATGGCGTTATATTTCTATAAACCGCTCCCAGGCAGGGCGATCAATTAGGACGGCGTTAAACTCGCTGGGGGAGGACTACTGTATATGTTTTCGCTATAATACGTTATAATCAACTTGTGGTCGATTATTTAGCTTATTGTAATGCTCTATTCCTGCTCTTCTGAATACTGTACTACTAAGACTGTTTCATTTATGAATAAGTAGCGGAACTATAGAATTTTGGTGGAAGCGCACCTAGTGAAATATACAATATCTATCTATATATCTATGACTATAGATTAGGGGTGAAATTGACCTGGGCTTTAAAATCAACTTGAAGTAATCACGTCAAATGTGTGGCTTCTTTATTAATTGTATAAAATCTAACTAAAATGTGAAAAATGGACGTTGCCAGTTTTTGGGTGTTCCTGCTAGATATAATGAATCTCGGTTATTTTACCTGCGTGGGCTAGTAAACCTCGAGTCATTGATTTAAATGATGAGGTTCATTTCATATTTGTAAATTGTAAAATTAAGGAGCACACAACAAAGATGCCCCAAATAAATTCATATTATCCTGGTAGTGCTACGAGTAGTAGTACATATAGCCCAATTGAGATTAATTCAACCCCATCATTGGTGGCGCACAAAAAAGTAGGTATCGAGCTCTTACATTTTACAAATGATAAAAGCTGTAAATTCCTCGTTTTTCATCAAAAATGAAAGCACACTACGTTCTATAGCTACTTTTATTAAATAATAGGATATTTGGATCCGGGCACATAAGCAAGACGAATGCTTCAAATGCAAATGAACAGCTATATACCACGTTACAAACAACTGGATGAATCACAAGCTAACAATACTGTACTGTACAGTATGGCGTTAAAATGACGCACTACACTGTATCCAATGCTTCGTTGAAGACCTTCTTCAAATGCGCTATTATATA